CAACAATAAGTGGTAGGTTAATGCTGCATAATGTATTTTATAGGAGATTAGTTGGTGTTGATAAATATGTTATCATTTACTTTATATTTAATGAGTGAAATTATACTCCAGTTTAGGGTAATTATGCGCAATAAAACTTTGATTCATTCATTTTATTTATTAATTTTTTACTTTAAAAAATATTACATTTCAAGTACTAAGTTTTAAAGTTTTTAGCTGATCTTTTTATTACTAAATTATTCATTGAAGTTGGGGTCATCGTATGTCGCGATCTATTTTTTACATGGTCGCGTTCACTGCGGTTTTCCACTCGGTAAGTAAAAAGTAAACAAATAAAGACGATTTGTTGATAAAGCATGTACTGTAAACTAGTGACTTTATCTAATTACATCCAAGTTCATTTATTAAAAAAAGATTTTTTCCCACATATAACGTTAGTCATGCACAGCTCAGAACAATATCTATACATTTTAAGATGAGGAACAGTGTTACCAGATTGTTGTTTTCCACAATAGAATTCGTGAAACATCCATATAAATTATGCAATAAATATATTAACTCTAATAATACAAATGTATTCACAACTGTTTCAATATTAAAGCAAATCAAGTGTTTCTCGAAGGTTTAAAGGCTGCATTGTAACTACAATTATTTTTCATGCAATTTTTTTTTTTTATATTTCCCCATAAGACGAGTAAGAAGTGAGAACCTCTTGTCCAAACACATGCGCTATAGGGGAATTGATCAACTAGATTGGCCGTAGTGTATGAGTGTGTGTGTGTGAATGCAAGAGTGTGTATGGGTGTTTCCCTAGTGTTGGGTTGTGGCTGGAAGGGCATCTGCTGTGTAAAGCAAATGCTGGAATAGTTGCTAGTTCATTCCGCTGTGGTGACCCCTGATAAATTAAGCGACTAAGCTGAAGGAAAATGAATGTACATTGCTAAGAACTTAATTTAGACAACTTTAGCTGTGCTTTTCTCAATGTTTTAAATACCGGGACAACAGATATTCAAGTATTCTTCAATTCATATTCAATACATTCATATTTTAGTGGAATATTGTCCTGTCCAAACAAACCAAACACCATTGGAAAGCTGATTTATTCACCTTTTTTATTCCCAATTGCAGAAAAATGTGCACTTATGACTCCAGGGTCACATAGCGCTTCCTTTACAAACAACAGGCAGAATCGTGGACACAGCAGGCTGAATGTAAGTGTGCAGCTTTGGAAAGAGCCATAGTCAAAACTTCCAGAAGGACTCTTTTAACAGGGTCTCCTTGAGACTCTTGTCTTTTGCATGATCACATGCCTTTCACTGCAATAAACAACTCCTGCAAACACAGATAAAGCACAGCCAATGCCTTTTCCTGCCAAGGTTATCATCACTAAAACAGAACAATCCACTGACAGAGAGCTTCAGCTGACATGACTACAGAATAGAGAATAGGAACACAATATTAATCATCAAAAAAGTATTTAAAAATAGGGCACAGAGGCTTAGTGGTTAGCACTGTGGTCTTTCAGCAAGAAGGTCTCTGGTTTGAGTCCCGGCTGGGTCAGTTGGCGTTTCTGTGTGGAGTTTGCATGTTCTCCCCGTGTTAGCGTGGGTTTCCTCCTGGTGCTGCGGTTTCCCCCACAGTCCAAACACATGCGCTATAGGGGAACTGATGAACTACATTGGCCGTAGTGTATGACAAATGTACAAATGTAGTCCAATTACCCCAAAGCCATCCTCGGATGACTGGATACTGTGGGCAATGCTGAGACTCACATTGGAGAATGAGCGTTGGCTCTAAGAGATAATTGGGGCATTATTAAAGATGCCATACAAAATATACATAGGCATGGCTGAATAATAAGTGTTCGGTATACTGAAATGGCATACCGTGAGCCTCAAATATCCTGGTTTCCTCGTTCTCATGTAAAGCCAGTGAGTGTAAAATCCCAGTGCAGAACAGGTCAGTCTTAAGGGAAACAGACTATGAAGTTCCACATGAATTATTAATGTGTACACTGCCATAATGTCTGTTTAATAGTGTCTTGCGTTAGTTTAATGTGTATATTGCAGAATTTGCAGTCTGTTTGTAATGCACATTTGTGTATTGTATATTGTGAAAGGATTATGAAGTCATTTGTCTACACTGAGGCTGACATTAAATGTTTTTTTTTAAACTGGATTCTTTCATATTATAATCATATTGTAAATACAACACAGGCTCAGTCATTCTGAAAACGTACATTTCTGGAGATCGCGAATTATGTAGCCAGAGGTACGTATGGCTGCATTTAGTTTTAAAACGAACACTATATGGCAGGATGACGCCGTTCCTTTCTGCGACTACCAGCTGACCGCTGTTTCCCGCTGTTACCAGTTTCTCCCTTTAGCTCGCCATGTATGTCAGTGGATTTGAGATGCAGAGATGACCATGACGACAAGGTTCGAGTCTGGTGAAGAACGGTTCCAGAAAGCGGGTAAGACAAAAACAGAATCCAAAAATGAAGTCAACAAGTAAATAACAAAGTGAGAATGAGGTAAAATCTGAAACAAGGTAAAAATCAGGTGAGGGCTTTTCTTTTTCTGGATTGCTTCTTAAAATTGACAGTTGGGTTTAGGGAAGTGGTTGGGCGGGTCAATCTGTGATTTTGAAAACACTATTGGTTGGGTTTAGGGAAGGGGGAGGGTGGGTCAGTCAATCGGTTAGTCAGTCAGTCAACAGTGGCCTCCGGTGCATTTACGTGAGAACTGCAGACGAGAATGGCACTCGTGGGAGAAATGTAAGATCTAAAAAAGCGTACACAGCGGCCTCTGGTGGATTCGCAAAAACAAAAACAGAAAAAAAAACGTAGCTCCTGGGACATGTTGCAACCCAAGCTCATTCTGGAAACGTAGCCCCGCGGACGTTTCTGGAGACCGTGATTTATGTGGCCAGATGTATGTAAGGCCGCGTTTTGTTTATTTCGAGCGAACGCTGCGCGGCGCTGTGACGCCGCTCCTCCTCTTCGCGCTCGCCGGCTGACGGCTCGCCTCCGTGTGAAGGGCTTTCCCGCTGCAACCAGTTTGTCCGCTTAGCTCGCAGCGTTTCATCGGTGGAGCGGAGGCCCGGAGGAGAAGGAGCCGGCTGCGGGGACGACCGGAATCGGGTCCGGGGAAGAGCGGTTCCAGAAATCAGTTAAGATGAAAAACAGAATCCAAAAATAAGGGTGAGAACGTGGCGGGATCTAAAAACGCGGTCGAAATCAACGCCGAGGGCCGAAAATGCGGTCGAAATCAAAGACGAGGGCTTTTGCTTTTTTTTTTCCTGGACGACTTTTGCAAACCGTCGCTAGGGTTTAGGGAAGGAGGAAGGGGAGGAAGAGGAGGGTGGCCGCCCGGTCGATCGTTCAGTCGTTCAGCCAGTCAGTCCGACGGACGGTCGCTCCACAGCGGCCTCCGGCGGCTTTTCACGCGAGAACAGCACGGGCGCGAACGGCGGGCGCGAACTAGAGGAGCTCGAGATGAAAATGCGCGCACAGTGGCCTCTCGCGGATCCGCGAAAACAAAAACTGCTCGAATACGTACCTCCCGGGAAGTATTTCTCGGTCTGCAGAAAAGTCCGCAGGGCTACGTTTCCACAATGAGCCCGGGTTGGACGTATATGACGCTCTCCAGAAATATAGGTATGTTTTCAGAATGAGCCTGAGTAATATAAATGATGTCCATTATTTGGGCCTTTGCCAATAATCAGGAAAAGACAGACATAAGTACACTGCTTAATATCACTAGTGTGTGTTGGAATGATTATGATCATATGGGAAGTATTTTACAGTCATTAAATAAAGAGAACGAAGGAAATCCAACAGATACAAGGACATAAACACCAACATAACACTGACAATATGAACAACA